TCAAGTTCTTGATGGCTGGTCTCTCGTTTGTTTAACAAACAATGCAATAAGATACATTGTAAGAAGATACATTTCCACTCTGTGCAGGGCAACATGCGTGCGAGCGATATTGCAGTTTTCTTTATACATATACAATACATATCTATGCATAGTACGCGTGTATGGGTGTCTGTATACATCGAGACACACATGCACACACAACTTGCACAAATACAAATATACATGCATGCACACACGCACAATTATGTACATCAGAGGTGGGCAAACTTTTTGTTGTGAGGGCCGCATTGAAAACTATTTTACCTTTAAAGGGCCGCACATGTACTTAAATAGCAAACTTTTCGACTCGGGGAGAATTTTTTTAAGATTTGTAACTCGTTTTTTCGTCATAACGTCTAGATGACGACTTTTTTTGGCATAAAATAACTGCCCTCCCCTGATGTACATGTATCTTTTTCTTTCTTATGCCTTATCCTTTCAGGACATTGGCGACCATCGACCTCCCCAAAACCCGATCTTTAACACTTTGTAGTAGTTGAAATGTGGTGATATTCAACAAGTGATCCAAGGATCTTACAAATGTTATTTGTTGTTGACCGCGATCTCTTATTCTTGCAATCTTTCTAGTAGTTGTTAGATTTTCCATTCCTTCCTTCCGCATGATGTCACCAAAAAACTTTATCTGATTATCTGGCGCTATTTCTTTTTTTCATATAACCGGACTGTTATCATACATCCTCATTCGAAATATGAGAGGTTCAACTAATTTTCATAATTCTTCTCAAAAACCACATCTTAGCAGCATTAATACTTTTTTCTATTTCTTTAGAAACTGTTCAGGACTCAGAGCCGTAAGTTAGCGCAGGAAAAAATGTAAACCACTAACAATTTTAATTTTTTGATATTCTGGTTTTACTGTTGGTGATGATGTTTTTTATTTTAGAATATGCATCTTTGCCATAGCTATCCTTTTTTTGACATTCACATCACATTTACCACCTGAAGTAATCAGACTTTCGAGATAATTCAAGTTGTTGACTTGTTTAACCTGTTTACTGTTAATGATTATGGAGCAGATCCAGGTGGCTCTGAACAAATGAAATGACACTTATACAAAAATGCAGATACTTATAAAGCATTTAGTCGTTGCAGAGATAGATATCATATTTTTTATCGCTAACTATCGAGCAAATTGGATTTTTTAAAATCTGCTAATCAAAGAGTTTCTCATTAAAAACTATATAACTATTACAAAAATATATAACTACATATTTTTAAAACTATGTGTATATATTTAAGTACAAACATTTAATAATTAACTAATTTATTCATTAATTAAAATGTACCTACACCATGTGCCGTGCATACATTAAGATTTTATTAGCTTTCAACATAGCAAATTAGAAAGGTTTTTCAATTGAAGAGGCCTTGAGCGATACCTATAAAAAATATAGCAAAGAATCACATAAATTAACATAAATTATAATAAATTATATATACATATATATATATATATGGACTATACAAATAACCATAAAAACATTTTGTGACGATTTATCGGTAGTTAGTTAGATAAAGAATGTAGAAATGTTACAAAATAGTACGGAGGAATATTGTAGATCGTTTTTAATTAAAGCCTAAAATTTTTATATAATATCCTGTACGTGTGTTTGTGTGTGTGTGTGTACGTGTGTACGTGTGTGTGTGTTAAACAATATTCAAATAGACATTTAAAATTTGAATAGACATTTAATATTCAAATTTATTCATAAATAATATTATTGAGCTGTTCCAGCAAAGATTTATATAGCTACACAATGCCAGTGCTTCGATGAAAAAGTTTAGAATTTGCTGCGGCTCTATGAAACTAACTTTTAAAGATCTTCTTTTATTTTAAAATTTATAAAAATAAAGATATGGCGATGTTGGCAATTTTTCGCGTCATTATCTTTTTTAAGTTTTTTTGATATGTATGGCGCTTGAAGCCGAAATAAATAACGAAAATTTTGTTGAATTGGGCCAACCATTCCATCCAGACTGCCAAATTTCTCCCACGCAAAACCCCAGCTGGGTATTCATAACTGCCAGAAAGAGGGATATTCACTACATCTTTGATAATAGTGTGCCCCAAGAACCATTAAAAAATAGGTTGGCTGTTTGGTGAAGATGAATATTCATTCCGTTTGTCAGAAAGTTAAATAACCATCTTTTGTTATACTGTTTATCGGCAGCCCATTTAGTAAAAAATTTATTTTCCAATATATATTGTTAATTGGTACAGTAACTTAATTTTTATATTTATAACTTCCAAATAGAGTTGATTTGAAATAGAAGAAATTTCAAAATCACACATTCCACAGGTATAACATGACGTCATCACAAGATTGACATCTTTCCACTTTGGAAGTCTCTGGAACTGACGCTAACCATGCAGGGCGGTCCGCCTGCTGGCCTGGTTCTAGCAGCTTACAGCACCGACAATATTATGACGTCATTTTGATAGGTTGCAAATTGTTTATAAGCAAAAATTTGTTGTGAATATTTTCGGTAAACTTGAATAAAAATATTTATAATTTTGATTGGTCTACCTTGTTTACAGAGAACTCTAGCATTGAGTTTGCCATGAACGCCAACGAAAGTGTAAGCTTAAAAATAGAATTATCCTACATTGGTTTTGAACCACCGACAGCTGAGTTTAAATGCTAATTTTTTTATGGAGATCAATCATTGAGTGGGAACTTCTGTGCTCTAACGGTTAGAACAATTTGCAATATGGAGAGAATGTTTCATTTGAAGGATGATGTTCCCAGCAAATGTAAAATTGTATTCAATCACACAAACTATAAAAAGTGGGCTGAAGAACAGCTTGATTTAAGACCAGGTTAATAATTTTTAGTTGAAATTTTAAAAAACTGAATCAACACTTTTATTTTTATCAATAACAAATTTCTAGAGAAAAAAGTTATGGTTGCAAGAACAGGTGGCGAGTGAGGTGCAACACCCCCTACAACGAATCGATGATGTGGTTGTTTCAAAACTTCAAACCCAGCAGCGAAATTTTAAAGTTGTATTATAAGTGGATTGCTAATGAATATTATAACAATAAGTTCGTTAATTTCATGACAAATACACATTTTTAGTTTATTTATTTTTGCTAAACAACAAACAAACCAACCAATCAATCAACCATCCAAACAACAAATCTGCCAATCTAGCATCCAATCAATCAAACAACTAATCAACCATCTAACCAACCAATCAGCCAACCCAGAAACCAACTAACCAACCAATAGATATGACTTCAACCTATCCGATGATGGGAAGGTTTACGATTTAGTAATACCTCAGTTAGATCTGAACCACGCCGGCACTTACATGTGCGCTCACAAGTCGTTCGAACATTTGGTTAAGAAAAAAATTGAATTGCTGGTTGTCGGTTGGTGGGTGGAAACATTGTTTTATTCAACAAAAATAATTGGAACAAATTTTCAACATCAATTTTAACAAAATATTCAGACCAGATGTCCGTGGATGCAGTTTCTAACGGTTTGGCTATAGTCTTGACATATGCCGGGAAAAATTATTACCATCCTCCTAAATATATTTTTGACGAAAAAGTAGCTGCAAATTATTGGAAAACTGTAAAATGTAGTCTCACGCAAAGAAATGTTTTCTGAATCAGGAGACAAACCGAAAACGTGCAAAATTCACAGAAACTCACCTCAAGTCGGAAATTTTCACCCCATGTGTGTATATATATATATATATATAATGATGTAAATAGATGATATATATATATTAATGATATAAATATGATATAAATATGATATAAATATGATATAAATATGATATAAATGAATGAATAATATCTTTATTTTAAAAGTAATTTAATATTTTATTTAATTAAAGATATAACTTGTATAGAAGAGTTACTAGATCAAAAGATACCCGCCCCGTATGTGTTACCTCCTTTGGCATGTATTCATACATGACATTTGAGGGCTGTCGTGTAATTGATCTTTAACCTTTTAGACTTTTAACCCTTATGTTCTCCGGTGCTTCGTAGCTTTTTTTAGCTTTTTTTTTAGATTTTTAATGGATTCTTTTTTAAAAAAACATTATTCTGTAAAAATATTATTTTTTGGTCATTAAAATTTTAAATTGTTTTTTTTTCAAAATTTGATGGTTTCTTTATTCAAATGAGTTATTTTTATAGTCTTTTTAATTTTTATTTAATCAATTCGTTTACTTGCTTTAATATATGAATGGTCACAAATAGTGGACACGCCTAGCTAATTTGTGTTTGATCGCTCTGCTGGACGGAATGAAGTTATAAATACTGTATAAGCATATGTTTATTTTATAATACAGTTGTTCGTATGAGTGTGTTTGTATGTGTTGTATGCGTGTGTGTGAGAGAGAGTGTGTGTGTGTGTGAGAGAGAAAGAAAAAGAGAGAGTGTGTGTGTGGTGTGTGTGTTAAAAAGTTGTGAGATGCTATCAAAAGCGGTAAAATATTACAATTTATGTTATATTATTTTGCCTATGTTTTGTTAATGAATGAATTAATAATGAATTGATTAAATTAATTAATTAATTAATTAATTAATTGGAAAATTGTCCTACAGCGTTCATAAGATGGCCACGTGAATATTATATTCCCACGTTAAAGTTGTATAATTATTTGTTTATTTTAATTTCATTACCGTTGTTCGAAAATTTAATTGACATGAACCAGCCTCACAATCACGTGCATCCGATATCGTAATTACAAATTAACGAAATTCATTCTAACCTCATCATCACACGGACACACACACACACACAAACACACACACAGTGCTGCGCAAACACATATTTTTGTGTATATGTTCAGCATTTAAAATTGGTTCGACTGACAAACTATTGAGCATAACTTGATAAGTTTCTTTGAAGACGTTGCTCGTCCATCGTCAAAAAACACCGATAAGGGTTTGATAACTGACCGACTGGACAAACACCATGTTGATAGCACCTAGTTTAATGGTGACGATGTTGATGCTGGCAGCGAAGGCAGTTGACCTCAAAGAAAGTTACCTCAGGTTAGGTGCTTCTTGGAGTTTGGAGTTTTCGATAGAAAAACCGATGGAATCTTTACATGTCAAACTTCAACTACTCGACGACAACAACGAACCCTATGAACTTAAATTTGATGAAATGTTGAAGTTACCGCATACATTGTTAGATTTTTTCCTGTAATAATTTGTTTGTTAACTTTTTTAAGCTTAGGTTTCAGACCGAAACTTATGAAAAATAATGAAAACATATGCTAAATCATAAAACTGGTAACAAATTCATAATAAAAATGCTCACATTGCAACAGCGTACAGATAACGGGCGTAAAAAATGAACCACACGAATACAAATTTGGGATAACTGAAGTTGGATTCGAACACGTTGGAGTGTACGAAATTAAATCCACGATCAACGAATTGATTGTTATAGGTTCTAAAAAATTTTTATAAATAAGTTTCACAGATAAATTAAACACTATTTTTGATTATTCGCGATTGATGATTCAACATTTCGCCATAATAATTAATAGGAAATTCAACAATTGAGCTGGTAAAAGTCGACGATGCCACTATGGAACTGGCCATGGAGATAACTTACCGGAGGTTCGATAAAAGTGACGGCCGAAATGCTCCTATCTTCTCTTGCGATTCCAAACAATTTCAGAAGAGTTTTTGTAAAAGTGGATTGAGAACAGAGACATGCAGCGTAAGAACGTTCTACAGTTCGGGCGAACGTCTTCCGCGCAGATGTGAAATTGCATTCGACAAATGGGATTATTTCAAGGCGTTTGAAAAAAAACTGAGTAAGTTTAAACTTTAAACATTTGAATTGTTATTGATTGGTTTTCAAGAAATAACAAGTGAATTAGCTGAATTGTAGAAAGTGCAATTTCTCGTGTTGCTGGTCTTACTGGTTGACCTCATTCAAATCCAATTCAAACATTTAGATCCTATGTGCTTGATTGACCAACACCCTGCCTTCTTCCGAATCTCATAATTCAAATATGATAAAAACTCAAACGATTTTTCTATATTTAATTCTCAATTTGTGTTCTCTTCCAAATGAACAAAGCATTCAGTTTCATGATTTTTAACTATGGAAGGTAACATAGGGGCCTCTTTCAAGATTGGTCAGTTTTCAACGATAGCCATTGTCGCAATGGTCCTTCGGGCTGCTTTGAGTTAGTAACACTTTTCCATCTTTTCAAAACTGCTTGTCATGAAAAACTCTCTAAAATTTCTTAATTAAATTAAAATACAGGTTAATCAGATAGTTTCACGTTGCCAAAGACGGCAAAGGTTTGTCGAGGTCAACAAAGTTTAACCAATTATGGATTCGGATACTTCATAAAGCTGTCGAATGAATATTCTAGCGACTAAATTCAATTTAAACTTATATTGAAATATTTAAGAAGAGCAGATTTGAAAATCAACATAACATTTTTGTCAATCGCGATTAATTATTTCCTCTAGTATTTCTAAAAACTAAAAAAAAAATAAACAGACGTTATTTAAATTTATCGGGAAGTTTTTAGTTTAAACTCGTCTCAGTGAACTTGGCATCATCCTATCATAGCAATTATTTTGTACGCTATGAAATCACAATTTTGCTGTCCGAAGTAGGTGCAATTTTTCATAATTGATCGAACGAATTTCAGATCAACATAATTTTTTTTCTTTTAAACAAGTATATTTCATGAAGCGTAAAAACGAAACGTGAAAACGGATTCCACAAAAGAAAATAAAATTCTAAATAATATGGAACCCTTAATTTTATAAATTTCTAACAAACAATGAAATGAAATGAAACATTAATTTTCAAGTTTCAGAATTTCAGAACAATCCTCTACCAGCAGACCTTTTTTGGTCTCTAGGCTACTCCACGCCTTCCAACCAGGCAAGCGACCATCGGTTTTTTGGATGACCTTCTTGAAAACTATTTTGATATCTCCTCCGAGACACTGACTGTATAAGGAAGGATCCTTAAGGGATGCATCCGAATGATTTTCGATGTCGAAATCCGTATCCGCCACCCATCGGTTATGGAAAACCCACCTCATAAAAAGAAGGCACATTTATAGTCAGCTGATGGTGCGAACGTCTGATCCAATCCGGATTAAACACGCCTGTGCTGTGTTCTGTTGATGACTCCTATGTCTTTTGTTAATCCCAAGAACACAAACCGCATGGAATACGTACATCATATATTTTATTAGTATGTGAATATTTTCGTATATTTATTTGATGTATATCTGTGTATAATGTTACGGATGTAATTTTTTGAAACACGCACGCACACGCACACATATACGTCTAAATACATTTTTAATGATGTATGTATACAAGACGCTTATATACACGTGCACATACATGAACATCATGTAAAAGTAAAAATATAGAATTGATTAATATCGGAAAAAGGAGCCTAGCAATCTATATTGACGAGGCTGAAGCAGTAGAATATAAAGATGATATATGCATGTATACGTGTGTGTGTGTGTTTGTGTGTATGTGTGTTCATTAACAAAACCTAGGTATCTTAATTTATTGTGCGTTAACGATAATTGTTTATGTTATTTGTTTGTCTTTGTTTATCAAGTGACAACACGCAAATTTCTAAATAGTATGTTTTTATTACTACATTCCAACATTAATATTTCGCAAAATCTGATTTATAAATAAAAAAATAATAAAAAGTGAAATTAATTACCCACAAAATGTGTTGTACAACCGGAAGTTCTGTACGAAAGTCACATTTAAATGACGTCACAAAGCACGGGTACGTTCGTCTGTACGCTTGTGCATACGCCAGAAGTGTACGAAATTTTTTTTATTATTGTGAGCTTCATTCCTCTAGAATCAATACACAGTTGGTCGTTCTGGATGAGTTTGTATGTTTGTGTGTGTGTGTGTATGTGTGTGTATGTATGTGTGTTTGTGTGTATGTGTTCTGCATAATTAATGCATGTGTGTATGTGACGGTAGACATTAGTTTGAGTGTATGTGTGATTCTTTTATGTATGTGTGATTGTGTGTGTGTGTGTGTATGTGTGCTGGTGTTATTGTTTTTGTGAGTGTGTTGACGCTGGATAAGTCGTTTGAATTTATGTCTTGTATATGCTGTATGTGTTGTATTTATGTGATATATGTGTTGTATTTATGTGATATATGTGTTGTATGTGATGTATATGTTGCGTGTGTTGTGTGTGTTGCGTGTGTGTTTTCATTGATTTCTGATTCTTGCGTTCGGAAATTTCTTCGCGTTTGATAATTTCAAAGTAGTTGAGTTAATTTGTTGCGTGTGTTTGTTGAGATTAAAACACAACACAACTTCAGAGGCAAACATTCTCGAATGTTGGTTACAAAATTCACGAGCGTATGTTCCTTTCCGAATGTCTCTATGCTTGCTTACACATCAAAAATGCAGTACACTACATGCATGTACGCACGCTAAATACGTATGCGGTAGTGGGTACGCCAATGTACAACGCGTGCAACACAATCATTTTAATATACGCACGCTCTATCAATATTTGTTTGATTTTTGAAAACAGGCAATTATGTAATGCCCTGGAAAGTATTTGCTCGTTCATGAAAAATATAGTTCTGTGTTTGTAATGGGTGTACGTGTTTGCTATGGGAGAACGTGTTTTTAATGGGTGAACGAACATGTTTGCGATGGATGAACTTGTTTGTAGTGGGTTAAAGTGTTGGCAATGGGTAAACGTGTTTGCAATGAGTTAACGTGTTTGTACTGGGTGAACATGTTTATAATGGGTGAACGTATTTGCAATGGGTGAACGTGTTTTTAATGCGGAATTTAGTTTACCAGGCTGTTTTAATGATTCACACATTTTGTCTGCAAATAAGTAATGTTAAAATTTTTTTTTGTTTAATAATAGAGAAATTGTATTTTGTTTGATTGTGCATATTCTTTTAGTTGGTGTTTACATTGGGTTTGGTGTATGTTTGTGCATAAAAATGAATGCAAATATGATCGATTTGCACTTGCTTCAGTTAAATTGATCCCTTATTGATGTTATTGTTGATGTTGTTGTTGATGATGATGTTTTTTGATGTTGTTGTTGGCACTGCTGTTGTTGATGTTGTTGACAGTGTGAAATATATTTGTTAATGATATCATCTCTTAACCTAATTCCGCCATCCTCATAAATACGCATACAAATTCAGATTGCCTCGATGCCTATAAATTCAAACGTACAGTTTTAACGAACAATGACCAAAGCTAAGATTTTCAGAAAGAGAGCATGTCTATAGCATGAATGAAATTCTAAATATTTATTATGACAACAGAATTAGGTTATGAAATATCATCTACAAATATAACGCGATCCCATTTCGACACTCCTTTAAGATAATGAGCCAGCGTGATCTGAACCTATTAAGAAGTTACAAAGATTGAATACCGTCGCGAAAACAAAGCCAGTGGTACATGTATTTTGCAGAAGGTCGGAACGCAATGAAATCTAAAATTTTAGAACAACTCGACTCGATCAGAAGGTACCAAAGTAGGTACAGTAGGCACCATTAAATGCGGCTAACGTGTAACAGTAACATTGCAAACCAATGCAGACACAGTATTTATTTAGGAAAGAAAGCCTTTGAATAGTTAGGAAAAAACTACAGAAATTTCAGTTCAAGCAGTTGTGATCACTCAAATTTGCTTTGCAAAGTTTATTTTCGACTTAATTATATTTACTCTTCTTTGATTATTATCGATTACAAAGTCCAAATGGAATGCTGCCTCCCCGATAGGTTTAAGTAAAACTTTACAAAATTTTAAAAAATTTTCATTTTTAAACGAGTGTTTGTTGAAAAACTAGAAAAATTATTCAAGTTTATGAGGAAAACTCCAAACAAAATTGTGTGGTGATTTTTTTTTCTAAAATCTGAGCTCCACAAAAAATATTTGCTACGCCAATAAAAAAGAAAAAGCAGAAGTCTTAAAGTCATGTCAGGGTAGTTGATTTTTGATCAACTGGCTTTAATTAACAGGTGAACACAACAACCCCATCAACATAACAAACTCTTGTTGAATGCTGCAAGAGCCACCAACTTGAAACATTATTAATTTATAGAAGACTCTATCTTTAACTACATGCAGAAAAAAATGCATACAAACATGCATTCATTTTTGCACACATACACAACACACATACACAACACACATACACACATACACAACACACACACACACAGACATACACAACACACATACACACGCCAACAATCAAATATGTCTACGTTATGTTTGTGTCCGAATAGATGTAATTTTTTTCCAAACGTGTAACGGAGGCATGCGTTGTATGTATTTGTACATGCTATGCATCCAACATTGCATGTTATTGCAATGTGCCTGGAGTTTAGTATGTGTTGTATATGTACGTATCTGAAGTATATGTTTGTATATGTCTATTTTTTATATGTCTATGTATGTATCTGTATATATGCATATGTATATATATATATATATATATATATATATATATATATATATATATCTAAGTCTAGGTATGTGTATGTATATTAATAAGTCGATGTATATGTCTACGTATTGTATGTTTATGCATGTTTATGTATGTATATGTAGGTTTTTGTATGTATATATGTATGCTTATGTATGTATATGACTATGTTTATGTATGTATATGTCTATGTATGTTTTGTATGTATATATATCTATAATATATGTATCTATATTGTATGTATATGTGTATGTATGTATGTATATGTGTATGTATGTATGTATGTATGTATGTATGTATGTATGTATGTATGTATGTATGTATGTATGAATGTATGTATGTATGTATGTATGTATGTATGTATGTATGTATGTATATATGTATGTATGTATGTATGTATGTATGTATGTATGTATGTATGTATGTTTATGTATGTGTGCATATGTTTATATTAGTACCTTGAAATTTTACGATTTCGTTCGTTGATAGTTCTGCATTGTCTGTTATTGACTAAATTAATTTACTGATGGGTTTTGATTTAATTAAATTAGTTCTTTGTATGTCAGGCATTCGTTGGGTTTTATAGTGCTGGTTTTGTATAGAGTTCTAATGTTTCTGGCATTTGAATTTTTATTTCGTTGAAGATATTTTTTTGAATCGAGCTGATTACTTTTTAACTTGTTAAAAATTTTAAAATTGAATATCTAGTAAAACAACTTTCCGCAGAAGTTTCGCGAGTTAAATTTGTTAATTTTCGTTAGCTTGCCATACACTACCAGCCTATTTTTCATTTTATTCCGATGACAATGACGAAAACAACAACGACGGCTTCAATAGTGTTTGGGAGAAGAAGGTTGATGATGATTGCTTCTGTGTCTATGTTGATCGGGCTAAGATAATATTTTCTATCCATCCATCCATCCATCCATCCATCTATCCATCCATCCATCCATCCATCCATCCATCCATCCATCCATCCATCCATCCACCCATCCATCCATTCCTCCATTTCCTTATTCGTTCATTCATGGTGTGATGTGGATGAACGTATCGATGATGAAAAAGATGATGACGATGGTTAAAACCGGAGCGAGTGAGATGTTGATAGCGATAAGTTTGATGATGTTGACAGTGATAATAACGATGATGATGACTACGATGATGATGATGACTACCATGATGATGATGATGACGATGATGAAAAAGTTGGTGATGAAGACGATGACAACAACAGCAAGTTTCGTTACGAACATTGGATCGATTGGTTTTTACTTACGGGTAGACTTATAATTATAACCGCATAGAAAGTCATGGAAACAATGTATAAGCATAAAAAAAAACAACATACCCTTGGGAAATGTACACTATTGACAACTTCATCAACAATAACATCAACGACATCAACAACGACATCAACAACAACAACATCAACAACAACATTGACAACATCAACGTAATAATCATCTATGTGATTATTGAAAGCAAAATTAATTTTTCGTCCTGGAAATTTTAAATTTTTTGTTAATAGAGTTCACATCCATCATCATATCTATGGCAACATTGGAAACATCTGCACCCAGACAACTCAACATCAACTGTGTTATCGTTACGGCACTTGAAACAAAACGAACAAACTCTTCTTAATCTATCAAAATTTATTAGAACAATATCATTTGTTCTAAACTTTTCAAACATTAACTTATATAAACAACAACATTTGACAACAACAAAAACCACCACAGACATTTTCACCCAAAACAACACCTAACGACAATAATTTAAAGCAATAACATTCAGCAGCGTAGACAACCACTGCAACCTGCAACGTAGACAACCACTGCAACCTGCAACGTTGACAACCACTGCAACCTGCAACGTTGACAACCACTGCAATCAGCAGCGTAGACAACCACTGCAACCAGACAAACACGGCCAACCAGCAACACGGAATCTTCAACGCCACATCTGAGAGCTCCCGACGGCGGGTGGGGCTGGGCGGTGGTGGCTGCCTCCTTCGCGGCACACGTCATAGCGGACGGATGCGGCTTCACTTTCGGAGTTTTATTTGGTCAATTGCTGGAAGTATTCGGCGAAACTAAAGGAACGACAGCTTGGATCGGATCGCTGTTCGTTTCGGTTCCGGCCATCTGCGGTCCAATCGCTAGTGTGGTGGCCAACACTTATGGCTGCCGTGTTACGACGATGGTCGGAGGGTTGGTGGCTGCGCTAGGCTGCTTTGCGGCTTCCTATGCCAACAGTGTATCGGAGTTGTGCTTCAGTTTCGGTATTGTGTCGGGGTTTGGTCTGTCCATGGTCTTTGTGCCTGCTGTCGTCATTGTGGCTTATTATTTTGAGAAAAAGAGGGCGTTCGCAACAGGTTCGTTCCTCATGCAAATCCAATAAAGTGTATATTTCATAATTTAACTGCTAGTGTTAATTTTATGTTGAAAAATTGTTTTGGGTATTAATCATTAATTTTCTACTAGAAAAATGTAGTCTGACTAGAATCCAATTGATAATTTTTCAACACAGACACATTTAAAATTGTAGCAAAGTTATATTTTTCAGGCAGGCGTCCTATTCATTGCACTTTTTATTGAAGTTATACATTACTTACCCTTGCTCCATTCATTATTATTTTTATCTTTTGAAATTATTCTAATGAAAAAATTTTTACTGGAATGATTTTAACGAAATAATACAATAAATGATTAAAATGCGTACTAATTTTTTAGTCTTTTTATTTTTGAAATTTCTTCTCTACCGAACAACAAACTCATCGATGAGACGACCAATCATCTAACTGAAAATATTCACCAACCAGGTTTGGCCGTGGCAGGGTCGGGCATAGGGACGTCCATCTTTGCCCCCCTGACGGAATTCCTCATCGAAAAGTACCACTGGCGAGGTACGTTCATGATTCTTTCGGGAATCATCCTCAACACCGTGGTCTGCGGTGCGATTTTCCGGCCATCCCTACTTGAAAGTAATAACTTAGCGCGATCAAAAAGCAAAAAACTAATAAAAAATACAACTGCTAAAAAATCTTCTGCCCCAAAAATGCAACAGACGGCCACAAATGATAACGCTGATGCCGATGGCATTGAAACCTCTAACGTAGAAGAAACATCTAACAATGGAAATTCGGAAGGCGTTCACGAGGAAAAACCTCAAAAAACTTGCGCCAGGCGAGTTTTGAATCGGTTGCACGAGTGGAAACTGTTCAAAATAGTCGAGATAATTTCGAATGTGGATTCAAACGATGCAAACGTGAATGATGGTAACAGTCCTGATGAGGCTGGTGACGACAGTCAGTCTAGTTCACTCTCATCTCTCACTGACTATCATCAAAAAAGGTGCAAAAGTGAACCTTATTTATACCGTAAGCCAATTACAGCTAACGCTTCTAATGCATCTAACAACAGAAAATTAATTCCGGTGAAAAAATGCGATACAAAAGTGCCAAATTTTAATGAAATTTCAGAAGATTTAGGCAAATTTGTAAATTTGGACCGAAGGGACAAAGAACTAGAAAAAGAAAAAAATTTAGCGAACGTGATGAAGTGTGGCGAATGCGGTGCATTTTGTACGCAAATGAGTTCAGCTGATTGCGTAAATCACGAACCACGCATACGCCGGTCTGTGTCAGCGTACGGAGCACTGGACTACGTAATCAAAAACAAGGATAAGCAGCTGAAAAACCTTCAACTGCTGTTCAACACAGACGACAATATGCAACTGTTATCGTTATGTCATCCTACTCGCCATCAACATCACCAGCATCATAAATTTCATCAGCAGGATATCAGATCACATCGTCATCGTCATCAGCGAAGACGGCACACAGAAATATTCACGACCCACGATGATGAAATATCTCAACACGCAGCCAATATGTCGCCGCTTGAAGACACAACTTTTCAAAACTTGCATTCCAGAAATCGCATTCAGAGCGTCGATAATGAAGTTTGTCGCGGTGCTTGCCGTCAGGGTTGTAGTGAGAAAAGTTTTAATGGTCAGCAAGCTCGAAATATTTTCCAACAACCTGATCTGCAACAGCATCAAACACAGCACCGAACACAACAATATGCAGAACATCAACAACAATCTCCCTGCCTCCATCATCAAGCCCAACTTTCACAGCAGCAACAACAGTTAACGAACACGAGAGAACAACAATCCGACCATCCCACAGGACATGACCCGACCTATTTTCATAATGAACATCATAAACATCCATACATTTCCGGTCCAGTAGCCAATAGCAACGATATCACGTGTTTCCAATCATTCAATAACAACATTGAAGACGGAGATGGCGCTGGGAATGGACATGAAATTGAACTCGTTGACGACGACGATGAAGAAGAGATCAATAATGAAAACAGCTGTAAACAGAACGGGGGTGATGATGCAAACGACAACAACATCAAGAGCAGCAGCAACAACGACAACAACAACGAAACTTACCCACTAATCTCAAGTCCACTCTTTCATGACAACAACAAACCAAAAACTATCGAGGCAGAGGAGAAAGACAGGCGACGTGTCGTTCGTGACGCGTGTGGATCTGGCAGCGCCGCATGTGAGCCTGCAGGTGATAATTACTTGATGTCTCGGATTGAAGATTGTTGTACTGGCGGCAAAACGAACTTTGAAAATGACGTCATCATTAAACAACATGGCGTCAGAAATGAACGTTGTTTGCATGAAAACCAGCACAACTACAACGTGCTCAACAACAACAACAACAACAACAATGAAAACATTAATAATGAAAACACACAAAATAATGACATTAATAATGAAAACAGCAGCAAAAGCATTATAACCAACAACAGAAGTAGCACGCACGCTTGCCACAAGCACAGCAGCGGCCACAGCAGCGGCCACAAAAGCGGCTACAACAGCGATTACAGTAGCGGCCACAGTAGCCACAGCAGCAGCACAAACAGTATTAGTGCGAGGGGTAATGACAACGCTGAACAATCAAATGATTCATGCGCCATTTTATTGGAGAGTAGTGCTTCTCCGGAGAAAAATGACGTCCTAGATGTAGGAGGCCCTGTTAAATTAAATGAAAACAACAACAACTACCACAGCAACAACAACAAAAACAGCAACAACATCAATACTCACAACAACTTCAATACCAATAAAAGCAATTTGCCCATCGGCATCAACAGTAACAACAACATACAAAACAGCCGCAACAACAACAATAACAACAACAACAACATACACAACAACAACATACACAACAACAACAACAACAATATACACAACACTAACAACAACATACACAACAACAACAATATACACAACACCAACAACAACAACATTCACAACAACAGCTCGTCCAATAAGCGGAGTAACAACTCTAATGAAATCTCTGAAAACAAATGCACAAGTCATATTGATCAGAACATGAAGGCCATCGTCAGCCACTCAAACGCACTGGAAACCCAAATTACAATTAGCAACAACAACATCTCAGAAATTATGAAAAAACCGATAACTTACAACAACACGGACTCACCTCACACTAGCATACGAGATACAACACCAACTTTTCAAAATATTCACCCAGCCACCACAACAACCACAACGACTCCATCTGACGCCACTGCTTCCATCAACGATAACAACTTTTCGAGTTCTGATAGGCACATCTTCATCACCAATAGGCACGACATGGTCTACAGAGGCAGTTTACTGAGAACTGGGTTTTTCCTTAGCCAGGGAAGATCTGCCAGTTGTCCAGAGGTCAGTTTGTTTGTTTGTACGTGAGTTTGATTTTGAGTTTTTACGTGAATTCGTTTTTGAATTTGTGCGTGAGTTAGTATGGTAGATAAATAGTTATTCATTTAACGGTAGAGTGAGTGAAAAAGTAACATGACCTAAAAAGTTACTTCATTTCAATTCCTTTCAAAATTTCACGACCGATCAAATTCATTTCTAACCTATTGATATTTTTCTCAATTAAATTATTTTATTTTTAAATATTATTTATAAAATAATTCCTACGCAATATTACTATCTCATGGAAGAGACAACATTTACTATAAAAGAAAAATCATTGGCAAATTCTTTTTATCAAGTAGTCTCACGGAGTTAATTACAACTCTCTGGCTCTAACGTCCCGGCATACGGGCAACATAAAAAATAAGCACACACACACACGTACACACACACACACAACACACACACGTACACACACACACACACAACACACACACACAACACACACACACACACGTCCGCATTGCTTTGATCTCTTGAGGCATAAACTAATTAAGAGAGCGAAACATTTCTGCAGAGTAAAATATTTTCAGGCGATTTTCAGAAAATGCTATAATTACGATGCCCAATTTCTGCATGTGCTGTGCATACCACGCGGAAATATTTACACACACACACCACACACATACACACGCACACACACACACTCACACGCAAATACTTTTAAATACTCCCACAAACAGCAGCAGACACACATACCCGCCAACGCACACAACTTCAGGTCTGCTTGACTCCAAGAAGGCGATCGTACAGACGGCAAGAGAGTGGAATGTTTAAAAAATTGTGTAGTTGCTGTTTTGAGAAAGATG